GAGAGAGAGAGAAAGAGAGAGAGAATCCCAAGCAGGCTCTGCAGGGTTAGTGCAGAGCCCAACGCGGGGCTTGACCTCATGAAACTGTGAGATCATGACCTAAACCAAAATCAAGAGTCGGACACTCAACTGACTGAGCCACCCAGGCGTCCCCCCATCTGCTTTATAAGGGTCTCTGAGCACCACTGAATACATGACTCTGTCCTAAGACATTAGATGGGAAATCACAGAAAGTAAATTTTTAAAGGTAGAAAGCATCTCTTTTAAAATACATTCTTTTTCTGGTCTGAAACGAGCCGTGGTCTATTTGTCTTCAGGGTGCGGTTCCCCCCAAAAATACATTTCTCAGATTCATTTCCTTGATGCTAATTTTGTCAGCTGTTGAATGATGAGTATGTATGTAACACAGTAAGTACTCGCCTCTTTTGTGGTCAGAACCATACAAGTGTAGTTTCGTGGGCTTGAAATACTTGCACAAACAAGGCTGGATAAATCCCCATGATGCTGCGCTGATTGGAGTGGTGTCTAAGAGGTAGTAGCTCCCCAGTGCCTCCACCCCTGTGTCCAAACAAGAATAAAATATCACACGGCTCACCAGACAAATGCTTTGTCATGATCCACATAAGTCTTCACCCGCTGTGTCACCTCAGTCACCATAGAGGACAAATAGAAATGGAGAGAGAATGCCAGGTAGGTGAGTCCCAGCTGGGACATACAGAAAAAATACCATTTTTCCCTCGCCCTCAAAACCTTGTGGATGTCTTGGTTGGTTATATGGTTTAGTCAGTGTTTCGAGTGTCCACTGGGAAGCAGAGAGGAACATGATAGTAAGTATGGAGTGTGTGGGGGTCGGTGTCCAGGTGTTTCTGTGCTGAAGGGGTCATGAGATTTGTAGATTAACTGCCCTTGGAAACGCAGAGGCACGCAAACCTCTGTGTACTGGTGTGAAAGGAAGTACACCTGTACTCCAAGATTCTTGCATTGTGTATGTTTTGGTACATGCTGAGAGGAAGATTTATTTAGTTTGAAGACCAGGAAGGACAGGAAAGGACCAAAACCCAGAATCTAAACTGTGTTCTTCACATATCATGGAACCATGGAACATCCATGCTGCAGAGGGCTTTTGAGATTCTCTAAGCCTCACGCCGTGTACGTGAAGAAATCCAGGCCCTCAGAGGGGAAGGGACTTGTCCAGCTTAGTCCATGTCAGAGCTGAGATGAACCAGATCACCTAACTGCCCCGCTGCTGACTGTACCACATTACGAATAAGGATCCAGTTTGTTTTTGGAAGCTATTTTAGAAGAGGCCCGCTTGCTGTGTTAGTTTTCTCTTCTAGCCAGTCAGGCCTACCATGGGTTTTTTCTACTTTATTTTGCTAGTGTTCTCAGAACATAGTAGCACCTTTGAAAATGCCAGTTACTTTTGGGACCCATAACAACTCCCAAAGATAGGGATGTCGATGTGATGTTTTCTACTTAAGATGCAATTCACATTGTGGGTGTAAGTCTTTCAGATTTAGGGATGAATTATTCCACATTGATTTTTTTAAATGACAGTAGACTCCTAAATCAGCAGGCAGCCTTGAGTAATAGAGGTGTTGAGAAAAACATTTCCATTTCATATTCCAAAGCTGCAATATGCAAGCTAGTACATTTCTGATGTTACCCATGATAGAGAGTATCTTCTATGAAGTAGGCTATATTTCCAAGTCTACAAAGAAATGACTCTAAATAAATGTGTCTTTTATCTTGGTGTATGGATTGATTTATTTATTATCTGTTTGCAGGGCATTCCGGAAAATGAAAGAAGAACCACCAAAGCAGAGAGCGCCTGGCTTTTCCGGATATGGTACAACTTTGATCATAAGTATCCTTAACTGAGGAGGAAAAATGGTAATGTGAACGTGGCCAGCTACAATTTAATGGAACAACTGTTGTGACTCTTCCCTTCCAGAAGTGGAATACAAAACCCACGTTTGGGCTTCCCTTTCCCCTTCAGTGGAGCAGATGGAGAAAGCTATTAAAGGAAACCCACACAAATGCATTGCCCTGAAAACCCACGAAACCAGTAGGGACTGGTTAGTGCAGAGGCTGGCTGTGAGAGGGGGGACTCAGGAGCCCTTACGATAGACTCTGTCCCATATATTGGTTTACTTATTGAGCAGTCATGGTCTTTTACCTAATTTAGTGAATCTTGCAAAAGGTGTTTGTTGGTCCTTGTCAGTGCACTTGCTCTAGGGTCAAAGAGGAAAGGCTGCCTTAGGGAAAAGCATGCGGATGAGATGGAAAACACAGAAATACTAGATACCTCTAGTCAGGGACAGGCCTGTTTTCTCTGACCTTTCAGAAGACTGGAAGATTCTCCTCTCCACTAAGGGTGCCAGTGTTTCCCTGTTTGCCAAATCTCTCTCTTCTCCTATCATAGTCGTCTTCTTCATACCTCTGCTTTGGGTTGTGTTACGTCCTATGACCTGTTTAAATCATGCCTTTCAAAAAATATTTTATCTCTTACTATTTATTAAAATTAATTTCTTACTTGAAAATTGAACTAGAAAAAGAAAAAAACCACGGCGTTCTTTCAAGCTGAAGCTTATTAGTAAATGAATCAAAACCTGGCTCATGTTCTACTGAAGGCAATTTGGGACAACCATGTAAAAACTTTTCCCTTGCTTTTGACTTTGTGATGAAAGCCTTGAATATTTGAGAAAAATGCAGTTGGGGGGCCCTGGATGGCTCAGTTGGTTAAGTGTCTGGCTCAATTTCGGATCAGGTCATGATCTTACAGTTCGTGAATTTGAGTCCCGTGTCAGACTCCGTGCTGACAGTGTGGAGCCTGCTTGGGATTCTCCCTCCCCGCCCCCTCTCTGCCCCCCATCTTATAAATAAATAAACTTAAAGAAAAATGCACTTGGCACTTTTCGTTAGAAGCTACTACTTACTATATTCTGTTGGCTGGATTTTTATAATCACTTTTTGCAAGTACTCAAAATTAAATTAGTATATGGAAACAAGAATGCAATCCTATCTGTTGTATTAAGACTCCCAGTAGGAGATCCTGGCTCTTTAAAATTGTTTAATGATTATGTCATTACTTTTGGCTCCATTTTCAGCATTTTGGGTATAAGCCACTCCCATATCTCTTGGGGCTTTTTCATCCCTCTAATTTAACAAAAATTGTTTAATATTTCCTGAATAAAATGTTTTATACATTTTCTGCATAATATATGTATAAAACAATCCTAATGTAGAGAAAGTGTAGAATGATAGTTTATTTTTCTGTGTATTCTTACAGAAGTAAACACCAAGATTTGACTCAGTACTACCCTTTTAAGCACTACTGGACTAAGACCCAGTAATTTTCATACCTAGTGCCCTAGTAAAATTAATCATTCACACTCTAGATCTCAGTTCCATTGTATAGCCAGATTATTTGTTGTAATGGAGATATATATACCTTAAATAATATATCCAAATGTTAAGCTTGTGACCTATGTATATGCCTGTGTGCTTGCTACCCATCTGAAGATATAGGGGCACCTGGGTGGCCCTCAGTTGGTTAAATGCCCAACTCTTAGTTTCGGCTCAGGTCATGATCTCACAGCTCATGGGTTTGAGCATTGCATTGGGCTTCCGTGCTGACAGCATAGAGCCTGCTTGAGATTCTCTCTATCCCTCTCTCTCTACCCCTTTCCTGCTTGTGATCACGTGCTGTCTCTCTCTCTCACATAAATAAACTTTAAAAAAAATTAAAGATATATAGAAGATCTCCAGCATCCCAGAAGCTGGCCTGTGTTCCCTTAGTGTCAGTAGTGCCTTCCCTGCCCCCCTCAAAGGGCAGCCACTCTTCTGATTTCTAGCAACATGGGTTTTCATCTTCAATTAAATGAAATCCTATATTACATATTATTTTATGTCTTGCTTCTTTTCACTTAACAACGTGTAATTTATCCATATTGTTGCCTGTGCCAGTAATTCGTTCTTGTTCATTGCTATGTGGTGTTCCACAGTGTGAATATACTACAGGGTTGTTTGTTTTGTTTTGTTTTGTTTTGTTTTTTCTCCAGCCATTCCACTGTTGATAAACATCTGAGTCATTTCCCAGTTTGGGCTATTACAAACAAAGTTAAACATCTATGTGTGCATCCTTTGGTGAACACCAGCACTCATTTCTGTTGAGTGTATACCCAGGAGAAAAATTTAGGGCAAGTGTATTGTTGAGCCGGACTCGATCCTGGCAGCCAGTTTTCCAGAGTGGCTGTAAACTGATTGACACTCCCACCAGTGACTTAAGGGAGTGCCAGTTGTCCCACACCTCCACCAAAACTCAATCTTTAATCCACCTTTTAAATGTTAGCCATTTCAGTGGGTGTGTAGTGCTACCATATGTGGTTTAATTTGCAGTTCTCTGACGGCCAGTGAGGCCAGGCATCCCTTCATATATTTGTTGGCTACTTGGATGTCATCTTTTTTTTTATGAAGCAGGGTGTGTTTAGTTCTTTTGCCCATTATTTGAGGCATCTTATCTTTTCCTTATTAGCTTGTAGTTCTTTCTGCGTTACTGAATTGGGTTCTGTGTTGATTATACACACGATGAGTATCTTCTCCCAGTCTGTAGCTCACCTTTTCATTTTCTTCATCCTATGTTGTGAGGGACAGAAATTCTTCATTTTAATGAGGTTTACTTTATTACTCTTTTCTTTTGGTTAGTGCTTTCATGTCTTGATAAATCTTTTATATCCCAAGGTCCTATGTTTTCTTCTAAAAGTGTGATTATCTTAGCTGTCACATTTAAGTCTTCGATCCGCCACAAGTCAATTTTTGTGTATGGTGTGAGGTATGGGTCAAGACCTACTTTTCTCCCATATAAGAATTCAGTTGACCCAGCACCATTTATTGAAAATGCTGTCCTTAACCTTCTTAATTGCACTGGAGCCTTTGTTGTAAACCACTTGGCCATATAAGTGGAGGTCTGCCTCTGGACTTTCTTTTCTATTTGTCGTTTTTTCACATTAATACCACACTCTATTAGTTATTACACTTTGTAATAAATCTTGCTGTCCAATAAGGGAAAGCCTACAGGTTTGTTATTCCTTAGTATTGCCTTGGCTATTTTAGGCTCACTGCAGTTTCATCTAAATTTTAGAAACAGCTTGCCACTTTCCATACACACACACACACACACACACACACACACACACACACAGACACACACACACTTACCAAGAAAACCTGCTGGCAATTCTTTGGCGTTTGTATTAAATCAGTAGATGAATTTGGAGAGAACTGACATCTTAACAGTATTGAGTTTCGAATCCATGAACAGAGTATATCCCTCCATTTCTTTAGATCTTTAATTTCTCTCATTAATGTTTTATAGTTTTAAGTGCCAAGTCTTGCACATCTTTCATTATATTTGTTACCCCTAAGTATTTGATGCTATTGCAAATGGTACTTTATTTTCTACTCATTTACTCTTACTATGTAGATATGTAATTGGGATTTTTATATGTTGACTTTGTATCCAGCAATCTTGTTAAGTTCACTTATTATTGAAGAGTTTATAGATTCTTTTTGATTTACTGTTCATAAAATCAAGTGAATAATAGTGTCTTATCTATTTTTTTTTTCTTTTCTAATTCCTTATATTTTCTTTTTTTACATCTTACTACACTGGCTGGACCTTTCCAGTACAAGGTTGAATATAAGTGGACATTTTGTCTTATTCCTGACCTCAGGAAGAAAATTTTCAATATTTCACCATTAAGTATGATATTAGCTGTAGGTTTTTGAGATAGCCTTTGTCAAGTTAAGAATATCCCCTTCTATTTCTAGTTTGCCAAGAGTTTTTATCATGAACAGGTATTGAATATTATCAGATGAGTTTTCTGCATCAAATGAGATGATCATGTATTTGTTTTTTCTCCTTTAATCTGCCTTTGTGCTGATTTTCACTGATTGTGGTTTTTTTTATGTTTATTCATTTTTGAGAGAGACAGGCAGACAGATAGAGCATTAGTAGAGAGGGGCAGAGAGAGAGGGAGACACAGAATAAGAAGCAGGCTCCAGGCTCTGAGGTGTCAGCACAGATTCTGATGTGGGGCTCGAACCCACAAACTGTGAGATCCTGACCTGAGCCAAAGTCGATGCCCAACTGACTGAGCCACTCAGGCGCCCCACTGATTGTTTGAATATTAAACCAGTCTTGCATTGCTGGAACAAATCTCACTTGGTCATGATATGTTATCCCATGTATGTACCATTGGATTTAGTTTACTAATCTTTTGTGTCTGATTTTTGTGTCTGTTTTCATGAGTGATACTGACTGGTTTGTGGGGTTTTTTTGTTTGTTTTGTTGTTGTTGCTGTTGTTGTTTTGTCATAATGCCCCTGTCAGGTATCGTTAACAAGATAACATGTTGGTTTAACAAAATGAAGGGGGTAGAATTTTTCTCTTTTTCTATTTTCTGGAGGATTGGTGGGGTTTTTTTCCTTTAAATGCTGGGAAGATTTTACCGGTGAGGTCACCTGGGCCTGGAGTGTTTTGTCTGAGAAGGTTGTTAATTTCTTTAATAGATACAGGACTATTCCTCATGTTTAAAATTTTTATTTCTTTATTTTGAGAGAGAGGATGATCAAGGGAGGGGCAGAGAGAGAGAGGGAGAGAAAGAATCCCAGGCAGGCTCTATGCTGTCAGTGCAGAGCCCCATGTGGGGCTTGATCTCACAAATTCTGAGATCATGACCTGAGCCGAAGTCAAGAGTCAGATGCCTAACTGACTGAGCTGCCCAGGTGCCCAGACTATTCCTCATTTTTTTTTTTTTTTTTTTTTTTTTTTTTTTTTTTTTTTTTTTTTTTTTTTTTTTTTTTTTAATTTTTTTTTTCAACGCTTATTTATTTTCACAGAGAGTACAGAGCATGAACGGGGAGGGGCAGCAGGTAGAGAGAGGGAGAAGAAACGGGAAAACAGGCCCAGGCTCCCGAAAGCCACCTGGTGAGAGCCCCATCGCTGGGCTCCTCGAACTCAATGGACCGCAAAAGATCGGCTGAAGTTTTTGAACCGACTGCGCCACCCAGGCGCCCCTTCCTCATTTTTAATGTATATGTGTATGTGTCTTTCTCCCATTCTCTCTACTTTTTCTTATGATTCCCTCTTGTTTTCTTCTGAGTATCACATACGTTACCATGTCTGTTTTTAGTTTTTGAAGATGAATGAATACTGAAATGAGGGTCTATGATAGAGGAACTCAACGATACATCATTTTTTAAACGTTTTTAGAATTGAATTTCCTTTGATACTAAGTTTCAACTCATTCGAGAGGCCAGCTGAACTCACAGTAAATGATTAAAACCGTTTTTGTCACTATATTCTGCAACCGAATATTTCATCTTTTTTCTCCTCTTACCACTCTTTACTTTCTTCCATATCTCCTTTGGTGCTAAATCGAGAGTGATTTTGTCTTCCGTTTGGCTTTAGTAAAATCAGAAAGGCACTAGGACGCCGTGGAAATGGCACTTGGAATCAAACCCGTCTGGGTTTGTGTATTGGTCCTTCCCTTTGCTTCATTGTGTGACTTCAGGCAGATCACTGATTTCTCTGAGCCTCGCTTTCCATTTCTGTGAAACAGAGGTCATCACAAACTCTCCCTTGGCTATCTCACGGGCGTATAACACGGTGACAAAATGAGCGACATAAGTGAAAGCCCTTTGCTCTCCTCCGAAGTGGCAGGTACGCAGCGAGGGCGGTAGTGATCAAAGGGGTGGCTCTTTTGAATTTGTGAAGAACGGAACCCGGCTCTTCCTTAACCAGCACAGCTACCTGAAGCCTCTGCTGACGCACAGCGGGCCTCCCCTCACCACCACGCTCCCCGCCTGCTGCGGGCCCATCGCGAGATGCCTGACCAGCCCCCAAGCTTATGAGGTAAGTTGGTTTTATCCACAAGCGAAGTTCTTCATGAAGTGGAATTCATCCGCTCTGTGGACGGGTCGCTGGTTTGATTTTGCTTTGCTTGCCTCTGACGTACAGAATCCACAAGAGGGACTAGAAGTATAGTTTGCTCAGCCAGAAAATACACTGAAATCCGCAGCTACCATTCACAGTCTTTGAAACGTCATTTGAAAACAGATACGGCGCGTTCCCTCACCTTACTGTCCGTGATTTTAGTACGTGGTTCTGGTCCCGTGCCGGTTTTCATGTATTTGCGGTATGTGGCCTGAGCTCGGTGTCACCTCTGAGCTAGAGGTGTCCTGTTTTCCCCTGCGGACTAGAGCGGCCGCAGACGTGTTGAGAGGACTGACGCGGCAAACTTTGATATCCCTGCAGCGCGCCAGATGGTCTCGTACTTGAAACCTGCCAGCGTTTGAGGATCAGCGAGCATCTATCTACCCGTGTTCCACATTGCTAGGATATGCTAGCATATCTACATATAATCGAGATTCCAGATTTTTTTCCTTAGCTACCGGCACATGATTGGTGGTGCGGCAAGTGCTGCAACACGGAAAGAAATGGCCAGTGCTAACCAGCCTTTATTTGAAAATACGAACCTCTTATTTTTCAAGTTCTTTTTTTTTTTTTAAATTTGCTTCTAACCCAACCCTTCAAAAATAACCTGTGGCATCGCATAAAGTGCCCACGTTAACAAAACCCACCAACTTGACCACTGTGATGCAACACCATGAGTAGAGAGGCCAGGCAGCGGTGAAGCAGTGTAGACCCGCAGCCTTCTGTTCCCTACGGCCTCCTCTGTGGCACGTGAGAGCAGACCCCCCCCCCCCAGGGAATGGACCAGAAGAGGAGTCTTGAGGGGGGTGGCACCAGCAGGGAGGGCCGCCCCACAGCTTTGTGCTCCGCTGAGTCCGTGCACATTTCTGACAGACTGTGCCTCGTGCGGCGGGGACACGTGTGTTGTCTTGCCTCTCTCTCCCGCATCTCCCGGGCTCCCTTTCAAGCGGCCTCCTTCCCCTCTGTGCCCTGTCAGTCCACGAGGCCCTGTGCAGAGGGGACAGCCAGCTTCGTCAGTCCAGTCAGGGAGCGTCGGCTCATGGATTCCAGAAACCTGCTCACCGTCACCAGAAGCCACGAGTTCCCCAACAACTGCGTGCCCTGTGGAATATAGCTAAACACAACATGATCGTGTTCATTTCCCGGGGCTGCCATAACAAAGTACCGCAAACCGCATGGTTCACCAGAAATGTATTGGCTCATAGTTCTGGAGGCTTGATGTCTGAGGTCAAAGTGTGGGCAGTGTTGGCTTCTTCTGAGGGCTGGGAGGAAGAGCCTGCTCCAGGCCTCTCCCCAGCTTCTGCTGGTTTGCCGGCAGTCTTTGGTGTTCCTTACTTACAGATGCACCGCATGGATCTCTGTCTTCATCTTTTTTAAAAATATTTTTTAAGTCGATTCATTTTTTTTTTTTTAATTTTTTTTTTTCAACGTTTATTT